AGATTATTTGGAGCAGTCTCTGGGTAAGTGGAAAAAATATCTTCATAATTTATTAACTAACCTCTCACAGAAAGTCACTTGCCTCTTTACTAATTATTAATTTACAGTATAATTATATGGTGAAGCAGTGTACTAATATTAAACCAAAACCATTTGTGTGAATTATCTTCTGCTTCGTGATCACTGGCTGCAAACTCTGGCTTAAACTTCTGGTTGTTCATGTACTTCTAGGCTTTAGTCTTGTTCCAGACACTGTTTGTTGCATGCACATATGTTAGACAGATTTGACCTAATTGTATGCGGACTGCTGTTTCTTGCCTCTCAGGCCCACATTTTCTGACTTCAAAGGAAGCTACAATGAGTCAACTCATACTACATGCTAGCTGAGGAGGCGGTGAGTCTTTTCTTCTTTTTTTTTTTTTTTTTTTCAACAATGAGATCCGGTATCTACATGGGGAATTTTTGTGTTTGATATACATATATTTGCAGTTGTATGGTCTGTTTTTATGTGCTTCACTTACCTTTTATATAATACACCATTCATGATACTTATACGCTTTGTTGCATGCAGTATTCAGAAATATGTGTGATGTATTTAAAGTTACCACAAAATTCACAATGATAGTGAAGTGATTTCATCTAACAAGCTTTACTGGACAAATTTGTTTGTGCTGTTTGTACCTTGAGGATAAACAAAACTATATAGCACTACTTATATAGTAGCCTGTCGGCGGTAGTTTATTTTATAATTATTCCTTACGACGAGAAAACAGCGAATGAAATTGAATCAACAACAAAAAGGACAGTGTCAGCAGCTTTACATCAACGTTAGCTCAGTCCTCGGTATGGGTTGTAGTGAACTCGTAGTATTGATCTACCTGTCTGTTTTTTTCTCTCCAGGCCGCTACTGAAAAGTGTGATCAACCCTGAGAAGAGTCTTACCTCGGTATGGGTTGTAGGGAACTCGTAGTATTTCCCGGTATTCATTATTTGAATTTATCTACCTGTCTGGCTGTCTGTTCTTCCTCTCCAGGCTGCTACCAGAAGATTTGATCAACCCTGAGACTTCAAGAGACTTTATTACGAGTGACATAGAAACAGGAACAGTCCCAGATAACCCGTTAGAGCACACGTAACGGCTAGACTCAGACAGTGTAACCTACAGTAGTTGTACCCTGCCTCTACAGGAAGCTAGAAACCTTTCTACCAGGTGAGCGTTCTAACCATTGGCTACTAAGGCTTTCTGTACCTAGACTACGCAAATAATAGTAATATACAGTGTCAGCGTAAATGAATAAAAGGCTGCAGTTGAGAAGACCGGTTTCATTGCACCCAGTTTTAGTCAATATGACCCGGTTTCTCTTCGCAGAACGCATTTTCGCCTGCTGAGAGCATCGCACAAAGTATGAACTCCGCACCTCTGGCGACGATCTCCAGATATCTCCGTAAAAATTGTACTCGTGAACTGAACGCCGCAGCCGTGAAACGTATCCACAACTTTCAGGGTGCAAAGCAAACGCCTAGGCCCCTTCGCCATGGAGGCCCCTTCGCCATGGAGGCCCCTTCGCCATGGAGATCCCCTATAATAATAATATATCATAAATGAATCAGTATAAGATATAATGGTTTGCATGTTGTAAATCTGAAGATGCTCATTTCCAGCTAAGATTTAATTGTAGCAGTTTGCAGCTAAACAGTTCAGTAGTTTAACACACAATTCTGAATGTCATCCCCACGACCCAACCCTGGTTACGCTAAATTGGCCAATCCCTCCCTCCCTCTTTGGAACTCAGTGTACAATGTTGTGTCGGTTGGCGTCTACTGCGCCCATTTCCCAGGTATACCGACCCCGTTTTTCGCTTCCTGCCCGCGTGTTGGTGATATATAGGCCTCTTTATATACATTCATCCTCTTGAACAAAGTTTTTCACCAGGGACACAGATGAGTATCATTTATTTTGTAGAGTCGTATGTAGTCACTTCATAGAGCATATTTTAATATGTGTACTGTGTTGTTCTTTATGTGCTGATGAAGGCTAATCGCCGTGTCCTTTGTTTGTTTATTGTGATCAGTTTTGTAAAGCTAACATAAACTAGTTGCTCTTTCTTACCCACTTTTTCTCTTCCCTATAATTTTCTACCCCTTTAAAAACTGAATATATTTAGTAAATTGTCCACAAAGGGGAGCAAGCTAATGTGAGACTAAGTTAGTTGCGTCCCTTTACGGGACGTTTCAGAAGGGACCCTAGCATTGTTGGGCTGTTGTGATTTTTCTAGGCAAATTTTACTTTCAGTAGTTTTCTTTTGCATCTTGACCGGTACCACTATCGACACTGACGCAAAACATATCAGCTGGGATCGAACCCGGCACCGCGGCTTTACGAAGCAGGCTTGCAACACCTAAGCCACTAAGAGAGTTACGGAACTTGTACCATGTACCAATATGAAGTTGTATAATGTCTAGTTTCGTCCTTTTTAGGACGACATTTTTTGTTTTTTGAAGCTCCACTCTGGCTTTTGCTGGGTGCCGCAATATAGGCAGGCCATAAATATGGCCAATTGTCTGAACACGGTTTCTGGGACCTCTCCACGGCGATCCTCACCCACATGGTGGCACTTTGTGTCATCGGGTGTTTATCGCTTGTGTGATGTCCTAGTGGGGTAGAAAATCAGTTAGTCAGTATGAAGTTATCCCCTCGTGGGTTGCAATTTTTTTATTTTGAAGCCCCGCCCTGGCTTTTGCGGGCCATAAATAAGGCCTAGCCATAGATATAGCCTAACGGCTGATCGGGGTTTCTAGGACCTTTCCACGGGTGATCTACATCCGCATAGTAGCACCGGGTGTTTATAGCTTGTGTGATGTCCTGGTGAGAAACTACCTACCTACCAACCATGTACCAAGTTATCTTGGACGCATCGAAAAATATTCTTTTTTTTTTTCGACTCCGGCAACAAACAGAGTGGGGCTTCAAAATAATGAAAAAATATTCATCCTAATTAGGAACGGAATAATACAGTCTTAGTTTGGGCCCAGATACATACACATGCACCAGCACACAGTAAAATGCCCCCCTCCCATCACAGACTTCTGTGTGTGAGTGTATGTGTGAAAGGTAGATTGTGTGTAAGTAAGCGTAAGTAGGTAAAGGGAACTGTACCACACTTTGATGTGTGTTTGCTTTGCCTAGCCCCACAGTTTCACAGATCAGTCGGCGCCGTCTGAGACATGTTGACATTATCACATCTTTAAGAAATGAACACTTACCAAAAACTGACACAAGCTATTGCTTGCCATATTTCGATCTATACAGTCAGGTACATTACTATAGAATCTATTCAACATGTAGACTAAAGGTAAAGTAACGGACCATTTCCACGCCACTCGCTCAATTGGGCACATAGGGCTAGACCTATATTTTACAGACTAATCGGCATTCGGCGGGTGATACGATCAACATCATGCTAGCACTCATTACTTGCCAGGACTCAACCTGGTACCCATTTGTTACACTGGGTAGACCTGGTAGTCAAGGTGTTGAAAACACTGGCTCCATGTGGATGTGAACCTTCGAGCCCAAGGCGAGCGCCTAGTCGTCACACTACGATGTGTATAATTTCCACTGAAACAGACAAACCGCACTGCTTTTGACACACTGTACATGACATCAATAGAATTCAGAGATTAACCCTGTAATTACGATGAAACATGCGTCAGACAATCATCTGTGCAATAAACTGTTTGTGCTTGCTTTATTGAAATTTACTGCGGGACAAAATTGTTCTGAATGTCAGTCCGCTGGTTAAACTTCCGAGATTACTATATAATGGACAGTTTTATTCTACACCTTAGAGCAAGACACAATCGACATTGTAGCCACATGTACACACATTTGAAGATTCACGAATCAGCAATGTGTACATGTGGACTAGCACCTGAGACAACAGGTCACATCCCCCAAGTCTGTCCCAGGTACAACACATCAAGGTAAAACTTTTGGCCACGAGAAAACCCTTTGCATGCCACACTTTACGGGTCACTGATTGAATTACATCAGACAGTTACCTTCATGCTAGAGACAGAATTGCCTAGATAATTTATTTCAATAAAACAAAAGAAGAAGAAGAAAAAGAATTCCCAGAATATTTCTTGCCACCAGTATTAGTCTGAGGCTGAGGTGACTGAAGATTCGAAAGCAAACTCTACCGGGCCGCCAGACACGCATGTTAAGAAAAATGAAAAAATGCAATAATCTATATATATATATATATATATATATATATATATATATATATATATATATATATATATATATATATATATATATATATATATATATATATATATAATCTTCTGCTTTCGTTCGCTTGAAATAGATTATCTATATCTGTAATTTTTTCTCTACTATATAACATATATTTATATGTATCACACAAGTTTCGCACCCCCCCCCCCCCCTTTTCCGACATGAAAGGCTTTAGTACTCACAATAAAGTGTCTATTACAATACCACTGAAAAACGTTAATATCTAAAACAAAGTACCGGTACTTCGCACCCTTGCATACCGTCCCAAAAAAAGTCATAGATTGTAAAAAATAAATAAATAGAAAGATGAAAAAAAAAGCAACAAAGGCATTAATATTGATAGTTAAGCACCCTTGAAGAACGACTTTCTACTTTACATTTCTCAAATGGTCACTGTTTGGAAACCAGCATTAAATTGTGCGTTTGTGTGTGGCTCTTTTTAATCATTATGTTTATGGTAAAAATACACAAATGCAGCTAAAAATATAAAATAAATCGCCAAGAGAGCAAGCAGCGTTTTCACCAACATGGTTGTGCTAGAGGAAAATTAAGGGTCATAATATATTCGGGGTAGGAAAAGTCCAGCAGAGAAAGAAAACTACGAATAGTTGAAAGCAGTAAACGCGTGGTCTTAGCTATCGTGTGCTGAACCAGGAGGAGATCAATGGACAGAGGCAACCAACACATCTCTGTTGACTTAGATACTAGGAGAGTCGTTTCTTTTCTCCTCCTCGTCGTCCTCGTCGTTACCTTCCAACTCGGTTTCTGTGCCATCATCATTGTCGTCATCATCCTCTTCATCGTCACTTCTCATGCAGGTAATGAACTCTGAAGAAGAAATGATTGTATTTTACAATCTGTGTATTGTTTAAATATTTATATAAAAACATGTCAGATTAAGATTTTTTTTTTATGTGTTAATAGTACGTTACAAACCTGAACTGTATGCATGTGAAATATGGATAATAAGCAAAAAAGCTGAAAAACATGGAGTGACAGTGGAGATCTGGTTTATGAGAGAAATGGAAGGACTATTAGAGAGACAAAAGGTGGCCCTCATCAAGACAGATGAGAACTAAAAGCTAATTAGACGAATTAAACGTGGACAGTCATCACATGTGTGTGTGCGTGCATGTGTGCCTGCGTGTGCAGGTATGTGTGCGTAAGGGGCTGGGGGTAGAGCTTAGATCTGACGATAACACTTCCATGAATCTTGTTATCGAATGAGATGGCGAACCACGATCATCTACGCTTATCGCCGTGTCATTTGATCATACGTCTTCGTTTAAAATAATTTACACACAACACACACACAAATGAGGGTGTTTGAAATGACATCTTTAAAAATGTGAAAGAAATTACACTAACCATGCACGTTGTCTTATCATCTTCTAATATTGTTGTTAAGGATGTCAAGAGTGTTGCTAATCTTGTGGTATTATAATGCTGACAAATACAATGACGTCATCATAACATTTTAAAGATGGTCTACCAACTTATGACACGCATCAAAGAAGAGCGGCGTTCTGTTACCCTTTTTTTTTTAAATCAATGAAGGGATTAGACCTCTAGAAATTCATCCTCGAATGGAAGTTTAATATGGTGGTGCATGCCCGGCGAATGGAAGTTCAGTATGGTGGTGATGCCCGGCCAAGGGAAGTTCAGTATGGTGGTGCATGCCCGGCCAAGGGAAGTTCAGTATGGTGGTGCATGCCCGGCCAAGGGAAGTTCAGTATGGTGGTGCATGCCCGGCCAAGGGAAGTTCAGTATGGTGGTGCATGCCCGGCCAAGGGAAGTTCAGTATGGTGGTGCATGCCCGGCCAAGGGAAGTTCAAATGGTGGTACAAGCCCGGCGAATGGAAGTTCAGTATGGTGGTGCATGTCTGGCGAATGGAAGTTCAGTATGGTGGTGCATGCCCGGCGAATGGAAGTTCAGTATGGTGGTGCATGCCCGGCGAATGGAAGTTCGGTATGGTGGTGCTTGCCCGGTGGTGCAAGCCCGGCGAATAGAAGTTCAGTATGGTGGTGCTTGACCGGCGAATGGAAGTTCAGTATGGTGGTGCATGCCCAGCGAATGGAAGTTCGGTATGGTGGTGCTTGCCCGGTGGTGCAAGCCCGGCGAATGAAGGTTCAGTATGGTGGTGCATGCCCGGCGAATGGAAGTTCAGTATGGTGGTGCTTGCCCGGCGAATGGAAGTTCAGTATGGTGGTGCATGCCCGGTGGTGCAAGCCCGGCGAATGGAAGTTCAGTATGGTGGTGCAAGCCCGGCGAATGGAAGTTCAGTATGGTGGTGCATGCCCGGCGAATGGAAGTTCAGTATGGTGGTGCAAGCCCGGCGAATGAAAGTTCAGTATGGTGGTGCAAGCCCGGCGAATGGAAGTTCAGTATGGTGGTGCATGCCCGGCGAATGGAAGTTCGGTATGGTGGTGCTTGCCCGGTGGTGCATGCCCGGCGAATGGAAGTTCAATATGGTGGTGCATGCCCGGTGGTGCAAGCCCGGCGAATGAAAGTTCAGTATGGTGGTGCATGCCCGGTGGTGCAAGCCCGGCGAATGGAAGTTCAGTATGGTGGTGCTTGCCCGGCGAATGGAAGTTCAGTATGGTGGTGCAAGCCTGGTGGTGCATGCCCGGCGAATGGAAGTTCAATATGGTGGTGCTTGCCCGGCGATTGGAAGTTCAATATGGTGGTGCAAGCCTGGCGAATGGAAGTTCAGTATGGTGGTGCTTGCCCGGCGAATGGAAGTTCGCTATGGTGGTGCTTGCCCGGCGAATGGAAGTTCAGTATGGTGGTGCATGCCCTGTGGTGCAAGCCTGGCGAATGGAAGTTCGCTATGGTGGTGCAAGCCTGGCGAATGGAAGTTCGCTATGGTGGTGCTTGCCCTGTGGTGCAAGCCCGGCGAATGGAAGTTCAATATGGTGGTGCAAGCCCGGCGAATGGAAGTTCAGTATGGTGTTGCAAGCCCGGCGAATGGAAGTTCAGTATGGTGGTGCATGCCTGGTGGTGCAAGCCCGGCGAATGGAAGTTCGGTATGGTGGTGCTTGCCCGGTGGTGCAAGCCCGGCGAATAGAAGTTCAGTATGGTGGTGCTTGACCGGCGAATGGAAGTTCAGTATGGTGGTGCATGCCCAGCGAATGGAAGTTCGGTATGGTGGTGCTTGCCCGGTGGTGCAAGCCCGGCGAATGAAGGTTCAGTATGGTGGTGCATGCCCGGCGAATGGAAGTTCAGTATGGTGGTGCTTGCCCGGCGAATGGAAGTTCAGTATGGTGGTGCATGCCCGGTGGTGCAAGCCCGGCGAATGGAAGTTCAGTATGGTGGTGCAAGCCCGGCGAATGGAAGTTCAGTATGGTGGTGCATGCCCGGCGAATGGAAGTTCAGTATGGTGGTGCAAGCCCGGCGAATGAAAGTTCAGTATGGTGGTGCAAGCCCGGCGAATGGAAGTTCAGTATGGTGGTGCATGCCCGGCGAATGGAAGTTCGGTATGGTGGTGCTTGCCCGGTGGTGCATGCCCGGCGAATGGAAGTTCAATATGGTGGTGCATGCCCGGTGGTGCAAGCCCGGCGAATGAAAGTTCTGTATGGTGGTGCATGCCCGGTGGTGCAAGCCCGGCGAATGGAAGTTCAGTATGGTGGTGCTTGCCCGGCGAATGGAAGTTCAGTATGGTGGTGCAAGCCTGGTGGTGCATGCCCGGCGAATGGAAGTTCAATATGGTGGTGCTTGCCCGGCGATTGGAAGTTCAATATGGTGGTGCAAGCCTGGCGAATGGAAGTTCAGTATGGTGGTGCTTGCCCGGCGAATGGAAGTTCGCTATGGTGGTGCTTGCCCGGCGAATGGAAGTTCAGTATGGTGGTGCATGCCCTGTGGTGCAAGCCTGGCGAATGGAAGTTCGCTATGGTGGTGCAAGCCTGGCGAATGGAAGTTCGCTATGGTGGTGCTTGCCCTGTGGTGCAAGCCCGGCGAATGGAAGTTCAATATGGTGGTGCAAGCCCGGCGAATGGAAGTTCAGTATGGTGTTGCAAGCCCGGCGAATGGAAGTTCAGTATGGTGGTGCATGCCTGGTGGTGCAAGCCCGGCGAATGGAAGTTTAATATGATGGTGCTTGCCCGGCGAATGGAAGTTCAGTATGGTGGTGCATGCCCGGTGAATGGAAGTTCAGTATGGTGGTGCAAGCCCGGCGAATGGAAGTTCAGTATAGTGGTGCAAGCCCGGCGAATGAAAGTTCAGTATGGTGGTGCAAGCCCGGCGAATGGAAGTTCAGTTTGGTGGTGCATGCCCGGCGAATGAAAGTTCAGTATGATGGTGCTTGCCCGGCGAATGGAAGTTCAGTATTGTGGTGATGCCCGGCCAAGGGAAGTTCAGTATGGTGGTGCATGCCCGGCCAAGGGAAGTTCAGTATGGTGGTGCATGCCCGGCCAAGGGAAGTTCAGTATGGTGGTGCATGCCCGGCCAAGGGAAGTTCAGTATGGTGGTGCATGCCCGGCAAAGGGAAGTTCAGTATGGTGGTGCATGCCCGGCCAAGGGAAGTTCAATATGGTGGTGCATGCCCGGCGAATGGAAGTTCGGTATGGTGGTGCTTGCCCGGTGGTGCAAGCTCGGTGAATAGAAGTTCAGTATGGTGGTGCTTGCCCGGCGAATGGAAGTTCAGTATGGTGGTGCTTGCCCGGCGAATGGAAGTTCAGTATGGTGGTGCATGCCCAGCGAATGGAAGTTCGGTATGGTGGTGCTTGCCCGGTGGTGCAAGCCCGGCGAATGAAGGTTCAGTATGGTGGTGCATGCCCGGCGAATGGAAGTTCAGTATGGTGGTGCATGCCCGGTGGTGCAAGCCCGGCGAATGGAAGTTCAGTATGGTGGTGCAAGCCCGGCGAATGGAAGTTCAGTATGATGGTGCATGCCCGGCGAATTTAAGTTCGGTATGGTGGTGCATGCCCGGCGAATGGAAGTTCGGTATGGTGGTGCTTGCCTGGTGGTGCAAGCCCGGCGAATGGAAGTTCAGTATGGTGGTGCAAGCCCGGCGAATGGGAGTTCAGTATGGTAGTGCATGCCCGGCGAATGGAAGTTCAGTATGGTGGTGCAAGCCCGGCGAATGAAAGTTCAGTATGGTGGTGCAAGCCCGGCGAATGGAAGTTCAGTATGGTGGTGCATGCCCGGCGAATGGAAGTTCGGTATGGTGGTGCTTGCCCGGTGGTGCATGCCCGGCGAATGGAAGTTCAATATGGTGGTGCATGCCCGGTGGTGCAAGCCCGGCGAATGGAAGTTCAGTATGGTGGTGCATGCCCGGTGGTGCAAGCCCGGCGAATGGAAGTTCGGTATGGTGGTGCTTGCCCGGTGGTGCAAGCCCGGCGAATGGAAGTTCACTATGGTGGTGCATGCCCGGCGAATGGAAGTTCAGTATGGTGGTGCATGCCCGGCGAATGGAAGTTCAGTATGGTGGTGCATGCCCGGCGAATGGAAGTTCAGTATGGTGGTGCAAGCCCGGCGAATGGAAGTTCAGTATGGTGGTGCATGCCCAGCGAATTGAAGTTCAGTATGGTGGTGCATGCCCGGCGAATGGAAGTTCCGTATGGTGGTGCTTGCCCGGTGGTGCAAGCCCGGCGAATGGAAGTTCAGTATGGTGGTGCTTGCCCGGCGAATGGAAGTTCAGTATGGTGGTGCAAGCCTGGTGGTGCATGCCCGGCGAATGGAAGTTCAATATGGTGGTGCTTGCCCGGCGAATGGAAGTTCTATATGGTGGTGCAAGCCTGGCGAATGGAAGTTCAGTATGGTGGTGCTTGCCCGGCGAATGGAAGTTCGGTATGGTGGTGCTTGCCCGGCGAATGGAAGTTCGCTATGGTGGTGCTTGCCCGGCGAATGGAAGTTCAGTATGGTGGTGCATGCCCTGTGGTGCAAGCCTGGCGAATGGAAGTTCGCTATGGTGGTGCAAGCCTGGCGAATGGAAGTTCGCTATGGTGGTGCTTGCCCTGTGGTGCAAGCCCGGCGAATGGAAGTTCAATATGGTGGTGCAAGCCCGGCGAATGGAAGTTCAGTATGGTGTTGCAAGCCCGGCGAATGGAAGTTCAGTATGGTGGTGCATGCCTGATGGTGCAAGCCCGGCGAATGGAAGTTTAATATGATGGTGCTTGCCCGGCGAATGGAAGTTCAGTATGGTGGTGCATGCCCGGCGAATGGAAGTTCAGTATGGTGGTGCAAGCCCGGCGAATGGAAGTTCAGTATAGTGGTGCAAGCCCGGCGAATGAAAGTTCAGTATGGTGGTGCAAGCCCGGCGAATGGAAGTTCAGTTTGGTGGTGCATGTCCGGCGAATGAAAGTTCAGTATGATGGTGCTTGCCCGGCGAATGGAAGTTCAGTTTGGTGGTGCATGCCCGGCGAATGGAAGTTCGGTATGGTGGTGCATGCCCGAATGTCCAGCATCTGTGCGAGTAGTGTGGGACGTTTCAGAACGCCCTGACTTCTGTGACAGACTGTATCTGACTGGATCGTGTGTGTGTGTGTGTGTGTATGTATACACACACATATCTATCTATCTATCTATCTATCTATCTATCTATCTATCTATCTATCTATCTATCTATCTATCTATCTATCTATCTATCTATCTATCTATCTATCTATCTATCTATCTATCTATCTATCTATCTATCTATCTATCTATCTATCTGTCTGTCTGTCTGTCTGTCTGTCTGTCTGTCTATCGGTTCAGTGTCAAGAGGCAAAAGAAATGCTTGGGTCTTTTTGACAAAAGTTAATGGTCGACGTTTGGTGCAGGAGAGCCTAGCATATGATACCACAGCCTCCAGCTTAAGAATGGAGGTGGAGGCGGTCACTGCAGCTTTCCGCTGGCTAGAGAACACGACACACACACACACACACACATTGTAATTGCAACTGATTCAGAAAGCATGCTGCGGAGGATTTTTTCACCGGGCCGCCGGTGTGTTGGGAAATGAACAGGCGGACAGACTGGCTGGCTCTGCACAACTTGGTGGAATACTGCTACATGATAGGGCAGACGTGGTTAGTGCCTTGTGGGAGAGCGCGTACAATGCGGAGGAGCAGATGGATCACCACAGTCTGGTGAGATTGATGCAGTTGGGGGTGACAAGAGGTTCTGGCAGAAGCTCAAGGCTCAGAGGAAAAGCAAGACGGACGTTTAATCAGAGGGCTACTGGCACCATTAGTATCGGAACCCTTCGCTGGCTGCTGAAGATGGGGACGGAGCGCTTATGGGAATGCCCCGAAAGCTGTGATGTCGGTTCTTGAATCAAATCAAATCTATCTATCTATCTATCTATCTATCTATCTATCTATCTATCTATCTATCTATCTATCTATCTATCTATCTATCTATCTATATAATACATAGCATTATTAGTTTATTATTATTATGAACTTTAACAAGGCTTAGAATCTCGAGGAATTCACTAAAAAATTTCAAATTTGCTCCCATCTCCAACCCCAATGTTGTCTTTGTATCTGCTCCCCCTCACCCGCCTTCGGTTTTCCCCGGGAATTTCGCTGATTGTTGTCACAGATCCGGCGGCGCTGGGATTTCTCAGGGCGACAGAGTTTGCAGCTGAGGTTTGAGGAGATCCGAGCACTTGTATACTGAAAGTTAGGTGTACAGCGAGGATGATCTTCAGATTAAGCATCACACACACAACACGTAGGAATACGTTTACAGCGGACATCTCACCTTCGAAATCAATCCTGCCATCTCCGTCGATGTCAACCTCTGCGATCATCTCGTCAA